GTCGATGTTTTGTTTGTATTCTCACTTACATATTTATGATTGAGCGTGATGGTGTGCATCTGTATTTATATATGCACACACACACCGTCTGCTCAATGACACAACAAACCCGTGCGGTAGAACATGTTTTATTTTATTTTATTGGCTTTTCTGGACTTTCTAATATTTTAGGGGTTCAGGAGAGTTTGCTTTTATTACTTAATGATTTTTATTAGTATTTTATAATTTAAGACATTCCTGAATTATGTTGCTCAAGAATAAGACCAATTTTTATTATTATTGCCTAATTATCTATGAAAGCTGCCTGAGCTTCAAGCTTTGCATTTTTGGTTTTTCAATTTGGACGCACTGTTTTTGTTTTTTTAAGTGCTTTATCAAGAAAATATTGATGCATATTGATCTCAGTCAGGGAAGATGGCATATTTAATTTGACTTAAATAAAAGTGTGGCTGTGAGGAATGGAATTTCAGTAGATTCAATATTAACATCTCAAGTTTTCTGAGGTTTTGGCCTCTGGAATTTGTACAACAATGAACAAACGCAGCCTAATTTTTATTCATGTTCAATTAAATTTCATAAACCCTGACAAAAGTTCCAGACTAGATTACTTGCGCCATGAAAACTCCAAATATTTTACACTTTTTATTTTTTTTAGATGGACTAATCTTGATTTCCAAAGAATTGGATACTAATTTAAAGGGGTCATATGATGCTATTTTAAAGATCATTATTTTTGACATGTCCATAAAATGCGTTGCACAAATTCGAACATCTGGGTTGTGCTGTTCTGTTGTAAATAAATCTTAACCAATGATTCCTAATTGCATCTACTTCCGGAAGGCCAAATAAAGTGCTTTTGCTTTCGCACTGAATCACACAGTGTCTCCCTGACATGGCTGCATCAACACTACTGCTGTTCCTGAAACCACGCCGCCTTTCTTTGCGTGCACATTTGGGCGGCATTATGCAAATCTTCCTACATCGTGACGTAGACATGTTAGAATGAGCCGTTTTAGGTAGGCGTGGCTGACTGTTACATTTTATAAAGAATATCTCTTTGGATTTGAGACTTTAGTCTTTGCAACTTTACAGATCTTCTTTATGCACCAAGAGCTTGTAACACTCCAAAGAGAAAGGAAAAATTGAAATAGCATCATATGACCCCTTTAATCAAACTGCCTGATTTCATCACACTAAAGCGCTAATGATTTCTAAATCCATAGTGTATGTATTCCTCTGCTAATTTACTCTAACTTATTTTCATTTTACCAGTAGAAGTTGAAAGCTGAAATTAATGAGTTTTTTTGTGTGATAACTTTTTCTTTTGCTGTTTAAGGACATAGTTGTCAATGATGATATATTACCAGTCAAGCCTGTGACATAATTATGAGATGTGATCTATGCAGTGGGCAGCTTTAGAAGTTTTTCTGCATGTTAAAACCCTGAGAATTGAGAGTGTGCAGCTCAAATCCCAAACCCAGAATGAAATCTTTATTCCTTAATGAAGTAGATAGGAGGTTTCATAGCTGTGACTAATCTATTTCAGTCTGGGAACAGATTTATTCTGTTTCTGAGCTGTTTGTGAATATGCAGCTGACTCATCCTCTCTGTGAATCTCTAGATTCAGTCGCCCATTCAGAATAAAGCTTGTCTTGTTTTCCAGAAATAGACCTTAGTCAGAGTAGATGGCATATTTAAAGGGATAGTTCACCCAAAAATTAAAATTTGATGTTTATCTGCTTACCCCCAGGGCATCCAAGATGTAGGTGACTTTGTTTCTTCAGCAGAACACAAACAAAGGTTTTTAACTCAAACCGTTGCAGTCTGTCAGTCATATAATGGAGGTGAATGGGAATCACGGCTTTGAGAGTCAAAAAAACATACACAAACAAAATCAAATTAAACCCTGCGGCTCGTGACGATACATTGATGTGTAAAGACACGAAACGATCGGTCTGTGCAAGAAACTGAACAGTATTTATATTGTTTTTTTTTACTTCTGATTCACCGCAATGTCCAAACTGTCCTGAATTTCTGTAAAGTAAAGCTTAATTTAAATCTTTAGTTAACTGAAAAGTAAATATATTAATTTTCAAATCATTTACTCACCTTTGTGGTTCCAAACGGATTTAACTTTCATTCTTCTACAAAACACAAATGAAGACGTTTTAATATTCTCATAATTTTTGTCCATCCATTGAAAGTACACGCAACCAAAATGTTCAAGCTTCGAAAAGTTCATAAAGACATCATAAAAGTAATTAATATCTATCAAGTGGTTTAAGCCAAGTCTTCTGAAGGGACGCAAATGCGTTATACAATGAACCGATTTAATTCAGGCTTTGATTCACGTATAAACATTGATCAACAAACATACATAGAGTGCATCAAATATGGTAAACAGAAGAAAAATTTTTTTCACGTGGACAGCCAAGTAGCCTACATAAGCTTCTGTTTACCATAATATTTGATCAGAAGAATTGGAATCGTTTCATATGCATTTATTGTTACGATGTCTTTATAAACTTCTTGAAACTTGACATTTTTAGATGTGTGGATTTTCAATGGATGGACGAAACTATTAAGAGAATATAAAAAATATCTTTACTCTTTTGGGTTTGTGTACATGATCACCCATTTTTGGGTGAACTAAACATTTAAATTGACATTCAGTCCAAAGTAACAGTGTTTGTGTAAGGCTTTACGCAAACAATTCTCTCCTCAGATTTTTTTTATTGAGGCCCAATATGTCAGTTTTGTAGTTTTACAAAACGAGAAACTAGTTTTCATTACATATGGCACATGCTCTTAAGGTCTTTGATGAATTTGCACTGGATAATAACAATAATCACGCGAGTAGAGGAATGGATTTGTAAATAGTGTATAGTATTCGTAAGAGTTGTTCGTTTTGACAACTTTGATTTGATTTGATCTGACTTTTAGCTCTTGATTGAGAAGATACGTATGTATTGTATGCAGGACGTCCTGTTAGTGGACCAACAGATGAAACGCACACCAAAAGCATCCTGCAGCCTTAGATATCACCGCGCCATTGTTTCGTTTGCCTCTTCATGTTAGCATTCATCAACCGTTTGCCAGTGTTCATACTGCATCTTTGCAATCTATGCAGACCACGGGACGGGACGGTGTGTGAGAGGGTTTAGTGCTATCAAACGATTAATCGCATCCAAAATAAAAGTTTTTGTTTACATAATATGTGTGTGTGTACTGTGTATATTTATTTTATATGTATAAATACACACACATACCGTATATATTTAGAAGATATTTACATGTATATATTTATATTCATATAATTTAATTTATTTATAAATGTATTTACTATACAAACATAACATTTTTCTTAAATATATACATGCATGTGTGTCTTTATATATATATATATGTAATAAATATACACGGTACACAAACACACATTGTGTAAACAAATACTTTTATTTTGGATGTGATTAATCATTTGACAGCACTAGTTTTTGTTTGGTCTGTGCCTTTCCTGTGTCCTCTCTCACTTCCTGTTCCCTTGGACTTTTGTCCTCGGTCTTCTGTTTATTTCATCTCGGAAGGTTTGGAAGTTCCTAATGCCGGTCCAATAATACTTTTGTTTATTTGCCTTCTGATTAAATGCGTATTGGTTTAGTACTTGATTTGCTGTGTGTTTCCAGACGACTGTTTTTTCAACTAGCATCTAGCCCTGTTGAAAAAAACCAGCATATGCTGGTTAGGTATGTTTTGATGCTGGGCAAAAGGACCATCTTAAACCAGCAAAGGACCATCTTAAACCAGCATCCCAGTGTCAAAACATACCTAACCTAACATATGCTGGTTTTTTCAACAGGGAGGAACAAAATAAATGGACTTTTCACTCACTACCATTACAGTATAGCGTATATATCACTAACTTACACATTTGACCGTTCAGATCGGGTGTTAAAACAATGATTTTAGCGTTTGACATATTGAGATTTGTATAGCGATGTGTTTTAGGTTTTTCTTTTTTAGGATGCATAGTTTGGTCATTACAGCCGAGATGATGGATGTGGGGCCGCCCAAAGCAGATTTTGATTGGATTTGATTGACTAAGGACAGATAGCCGTTACCCCTTGGCTCTGTGTTGTACGGTGGAAACCCCATGGGTTTGCTTCATCTGGGTCCAGCATTTTTAAATGCTTCGTATCTGTAATTGCTCTGCAAAACTATAGCCGTTTTAAAATACACATTGTATTTGAAACCATTTTAAATTGTGTATGTTTTTAAAGTTTTTGCTTCTGGGTCCAATATTAACAACATTCCGTTGTTGATCTTGGCTGATCATCACTAGGTACCATGCTCTGAGAAACCATAAAACAGATTTATCAATGTCTTATTCTGATATTTGCCACATTGCAGTGAAGTGCTGCAGTGTTATTCCTCTAAATATGCATATCTGTGCGCACAGTGTAGAAGAAGTGGGAAGATTTTGAAATAAAAAATGGAGCCATCTAGTGTAAGCA